CCCTTTACAAAGCCTCTCTACCCTCCAGCAGGTCGACACTGCCACCCAGCTTGGTGTTGTCTGTAAACTGACTGAGGGTGCACTCGATCCCTTCCTCCAGATCATTGATAAAGATATTAAAGAGAACAGGTCCCAGTATCCAGCCCTGGGGGACACCACTCATGACTGGCTGCCAACTGGATTCAGCTTCATTCACCACCACTCTCTGATGCAGCATTCCAGTCATGCGAGTCATCCCACCACATTTCTGATGGTGACTACATCATAGCTTTCCTGCTGCACAATGGCTTCCAGTCCCTCCTGTCTGTTGCCCATACTGTGTGCATTAGTGTAAAAGCACTTCAGCTGGGCTACCAGTCACACCACCTTTTTGGTGTAGGAAGGTCTAACCTGACCATTCCTAGGCACAGCCATAGTTTCGAGCCCATCGATGACCCTTGCATCTCTGCTGATGGATTCTCCCCATTCCCCCTTCAAACTTAGTTTAAAGACCATTTGATGAGCCCTGCCAACCCCTGCGTGAAGACCTTCTTCCCCTTTGGAGTCAGGTGTACCCCATCTGTCTCCAGTAGGCCTGGTGTCATGTAAACCTTCCTGTGCTTGAAACACCCAAAGCTGTGCCTCTGACACCAAGCTTGGAGCCATGTGTTGATCTGCTGGCTCTTCTTGTTACTTCCCTCATCCTTCCCTGTGACTGGGATGACAGAGGAGAACACTACTTGCGCTCCTGACCCCTTGACCAGTTGGAGGGGAGATGTGAGCTTCTGCAAAATGGGGTTTTCTTCAGATGGTTCTATTGAGGTGCTTGCTCAAGCTTTCCCTGATATGCGTCTTGGAAATACAAGTTTGTCTCTGCTTTGCCTCTGTCTCTGCAGGTGCATTTCCTGTCATGGTGAACAAGAGGCATAATGGCAACCTGCTCGTGCACCTGGGACCCAAACTCCAGGCCTACCCGGAGGAGCTGCTCCGGCAGCGGCGAGGCCACGACGGCCAGCCTGAGTACCTTATCCAGTGGAGTATCGTCAGCTTGGAAGAGAAGACAGTGGGAAGCAGCAGTGCCTCCTCTGCAGAGACCAAGCCGGAGAACATCTCGATGTGGATGTCAGCAGAAGAGGTCTGCGCCAGCTGCCCGGCGCTGCTGGGCAAGAGGAAGCTGGAAGGGCAGTGGGTGAAGGAGGAGAAGGCAGCCAGCCCGTTGGCTGTGCCGCTGGATGAAGCCTCGCTGCTGGAGATGAAGGCTGATGTCAGGAGCCTGGTGCAGCGAGCTGGCCGGCAGATGGCCGAGACTGGGGCTCCCGAGTCCTCCATCCTCAACACCATCCACGTGCTGAGCGCCTACGCCAGCATTGGCTTGTTGGCAGGTGCCTTCAAGGAGACGGGAGCCCTGGACTTGCTGATGAAGATGCTGTGCCACAAGGAGAAGCAAATCCGCCGCAGCGCCGGCAAGATGCTGAGGGCCCTGGCTTCGCATGATGCAGGTGGGGGCTGCTACTGCTCAGTGCTGCTGAGGAGGTGCAGCTGAGGGGTGCCAGTCCTCTTGTAGGTGTGGGATGCCTGGGAAGCGGTGTGTCCTGGGTCTTGTTGGCAAAAGGGGTAGAACGAGACTGGAGCTTCCAAGCAGTTCCTTGGTGGTAGTTGTCTGGAGTGCTCTAAGACTTGGGAGCTCTTTCCCCCGGCGGGTTCCTGAGCTGCGATGCTGATTAACTGTTAGGAGAATTTATGCCAGGGGTGCCTCTGCTGCATGCTGTCCGTTGGAAAGCCTCTGGCCTATTCTTGGCATGGAGCTTTTCCTCAGCCCCTGGTGGGCAGAGGCCTGGTCCTCATTTAAGAGGAGCTGCCATGGGTTTTAAGTGCCTCATGAGGCTTGAGTGCCCTGGGAAGGTTGTTAATGATGGTGCGCCCCACAAGAGATCTAGCTTTCCCTGTCCTAGTGCCCAAGTTCATGTGGCTCTCCAGTGGGGCAGATACAGGGCTGGTTCAGGTTAAAACTTAAGTTTTTTCTTCCCTGGAACCATCTTCGGGAGTCAGTTATTTGGGGTTGCTGCTTTGGGGGAATCTTGCAGCTTTGGGGGTGGAAATAATGCAGTGTTACTCAGTGGAGCAAATTGTTGCCAATCCAGATTAAAGGACAGAACACGGTTCTAGGTGACTCCCAGCAGCAAAGCTCAAGTCTGCAAGTCTGTCTGGCACAGGGAGGGTGGGGTGAGGGTTATCTCTAGGGCGCCTGATGGGTTTCTGTTATTTTTGCAGGAAGCCGGGCCTATGTCCTGCTGTCCCTGAGCCAGCAGGATGGCATTGAGCAGCACGTAGACTTCGACGGTCGCTACACCTTGCTGGAGCTGTTTGCTGAGATGATGTCTTCTGAAGAGCACTGCATGTCCTTTGAGGGGATTCACCTTCCCCAGGTAGCAGCTGTGGGCTTTAGGGGTCAGGAGGGGTGAGAGTGGGGTGCCAGAGCTGGTGTGCCTTGTTTGGGACAGGAGGGCAGCGGGCAGCTGAGCAGGACTGGGTATTGGGAGAGCTGGCAGAGGATCTGGATGTGGCTTGAGGCTGGGGGGTGGTGGAGAAGCACATGGAGAGCCTTGTCTCTGAGCAGGGAGGCAAGAGTGGGCTGAGAGGTGTCTGCTGCTGCCTGAAGGTATCACAGGAGCCTGACTGTGGATGAGCTGGTGGCTGGAGGTGCTCTGCAGGCTAGAGCCTGACAGCCGTGCTCGTTGCAGATCCCCGGGAAGCTCCTGTTCGTCCTGGTGAAGCACTACCTGTGTGTCACTTCTCTCATGGACAAGCTCTGCAGTGGTGTGGAGCCGGGAGGGGAGCAGCAGGACTGCGCCGTGCCCAACCTGCTGGCCGAGGAGAGGAGCCGTGCGAAGCAGGAGTTTGAGTTCAGCATGGCGATGGCCAACCTCATCTTGGAGCTGGCGCACGTGATGGGCTGGGACCACAGCCCCAAGGCAGAGCTGCCGCCCCGAGGGGAGCTGCGGCCTCGCGCCCCACACTCCATCTTCCAGCACAAGACCCCTGCCTGCCCTACAGCCCAAATGCCCGTGCTCGCTTCAAATCAAGGTCCTCACAGAAAGCAGGGTCGTGTCTTCCTCACCCCGTCGGACTTCGCAGACCGCAGTGGCTACGTGGAGTACTTGCAGGCAAACCTGGTGCGCGGCATGAGGGTGCGCTTGCTGGAGGACTGCGGTGATGTTAGAGCTGGGGAGGAAGGCGAGTTTCTTCAGAGCACTAATAGCATGCACACAGTGCAGGTAGGTGACGAGCGGCTGGGATGGCAGAGGGGGTGACTGATGATTTCCTAATGATGTCTTCACGTGCAGGAAGTTGGACGACAGGTGTATGGTCGTTAGGACACTGTCTCCATCTGACCTCGCAAAGAAGTCACCTTTCGGAGCTGGAATTATGGGTCATGAGGAAAGCTAGTCTGGTTTAGTATGGGCTGTCCTGCTAAGACAGGTGGCTATATCCTGCCTTCCAGGAACAATACCTAGCCCTGGTTTGATCCTGGGAACAGGCTGACTTGCACAAATGAGTAACACAGCAAAAGGTCCTTGAAGGTCTTGAGCCTTGGCATGTGAGCAACAATACTTAGGGCATGCTGTTGTTCTCACTGGGTTGGACACAGCCCTCACAACTGTTTCTTTTGATCTGCAAATATATGCCATGGTGTGTTTCCCTTTTAAGAGTGTCTTTGGGCTGAGTAGACCTTAAATGAAAGTTTGGGTTAAAAAGAGCTGTTAGAGCTGCATATTTGCAGTTGAGTTGCTAAGTTTGTGCCAGGGATTAGGGAGGGAGGAGTCATAGAATCATAGAGTAGTTTGGGTTGGAAGAGACCTTTAAAAGTCATCTAGTCCAACCTTCCTGCAAGGAGCTGAGAGCACTGTCCAACCTGACCTTGAATGTTTCCAAGGAGGGGCACCTACCACCTCTCTGGGAAACCTGGTGCAGTGTTTCACCACTCCCATTGTAAAGAATTTCTTCCTTCTATCTAGTCTAAATCTTCCCTTTTTCAGTTTAAAACCATTACCCCTTGTCCTGTTGCAACAGACCTTACTAGAAAGTTTGTCCCCATCTTTCCTGTAGGCCCCCTTTAAGGATTGAAGGCTCTCCCTGGCACCTTCTCTTCTCCAGGCTGAACAACCCCAACTCTCTCAGCCTGTCCCCATAGGAGAGGTGCTCCATCCCTTCGGTCATTTTTGGGGCCCTCTTCTGGACCGGCTCCAACAGGTGCTTTCCTGTGCTGAGGGCTCCAGAACTGGACACAGTGCTCCAGATGGGGTCTCACCAGAGTGGAGAAGAGGGGCAGGAATCACCTCCCTGGACCTGGCCATGCTTTCTGAGCTGTGAGCACACATTGTCAGCTCACATCCAGTTTTTCATCCACCAGTACCCCCAAGTCCTTCTCAGTGGGGCTACACTCAATCCCTTCCCCCCTCAGCCTGTACTGGTACAGGGGGGTGGTCCTGAACCAGGTGCAGGACCTTGAACCTGATGAGGTTCACATGGGCCTGCTTCTCCAGCTTGCCCAGGTGCCTCTGGATGGCATCCCATCCCCCAGGTGTGTCAGCCACACCACTCAGCTTGGTGGTGTCTGCAAACTTGCTGAGGGTGCACTTAATCCCACTGTCGATGTCACTGATTAAGATATTAAACACTATTGGTCCCATTACAGACCCCTGAGGGACCCTGCTTGTCACTGATCTCGATCTGGACATTGAGCCATTCACTACTACCCTCTGGTTGTGACCATCCAGCCAATCCCTCGTCCACCAAACAGCCCATCCATCAAATCCATATTTCTCCAATTTAGAGAGAAGGATGTTGTGGGGGACAGTCCAGATAGATGACATCAGTAGTTCTTCCCTTGTCCACTTACGTAGTCACTCCTCATAGAAGGCCACTAGGTTGGTCAGGCAAGATGTGCCCATGGTGAAGTCATGTTGGCTATCGCGAATCACCTCCCTATTCTCCATGTGCCTTAGGATAGCTTCTAGAAGTATCTGTTCCATGATCTTCTCAGGCACAGAGGTGAGGCTGACAGGTTGGTAGGTCCCAGGGTGCTCCTTTCTACCCTTTTTAAAAAGGGTGCAATGTCTCCCTTTTTCCAGTCACCAGGGACTTCACCTGACTGGCATGCCTTTTCAAATCTCATGAAGAGTGGCTTGGCAGCTACATCAGCCAGTTCCCTCAGGGCTCTGGGATCCATCTTATCAGGTCCCATAGACTTCTGTATGCTCCGGTTCCTCAGGTGATCTCAAAGCTGTTCTGTTACACGGACTTTGTTCCCCCAGTCCCTGCCTTGCAGTCCATCCACTTGAGAGGTTTCAGTGAAGACCGAGGCAAAAAAGTTGTTGAGTACCTCAGCCTTCTCCTTGTCTACTGTTACCAGTTTGCCAGTTGTGTGTTGGTTTCTTTGACCTTCCTTTTCTGGCTGTAGAACCCCCCTGTTCTACCTGTAGAACCCCTTCTTATCGTTGTGTCCTCTGCCAAGTTCAGCTTCAGCTCTGCCTTGGCCCTCCTGACCCCGTCCCTGTACAACTGGGCAACGTCCCTATATACTCTTTGTAGGATATCTGTCCCTGCTTCCACTGCCTGGGCATTCCATTTCCTTCTTGCCCTTTAGTTTGACCTGCAGGTCATGATTCATCCATGACTATCTTTTTCCTTCCTTTCCTGATTTCTTACACATGGGGATCGAGAGCTCTTGGGCTTTATGGAAAGTAAAGATCTGCCAGCTCTGAGCTCTTCCCTTGTCCCTGAATGCCGTTTGTGAGGGAGTCCCATTGACTAACTCCTTGAACAGCAGGAATTTTGCTTTCCTAAAATTCAGGGTCCGGACTTTCCTCTTTGCCTGTCCCCTATCTGGACAGGCAAACTGCAAACTCCACCAGTGCACGATGGCCGCAGCCCAGGCTGCCTTCACTCTTAATGTCTGTGATTAGTTCACTTGTGTTGGTGACCAACAGGTCCAGTATCGTTGCTTTTCTGGGCTTTTGCCCTCACTCTCCATTTGAAGGGAAACTTGTTTTTTTTATTTCTGTTCCTCTTTCTTATCTTGTGTATCACACTTGCTTCATATTGACCGTTTCTTTGCTGATGACTAATGAGTTCAAGTTACAGGAACTGCTTTTCCCTGCTCTAAAATTTTGATCCTTTCCTTTTTGATTAATTCTGCTTTCGCAGCTCATCCTGCCTGATGCTTGCTGTCAGTCTTCTGTGTGCAAAATGCAAATTCACGTGCATTTTTGATTTGGGCCAGTTCATCACGAGCGTGTCTCCTACCTCCTCTCACCTTTCTTTTATTGCTCTGTTTTCTGTTGCTTTCTTACCCTCTCCAAACACAAAGTTTCACTGTTGTGCCTGGTCCTTCAGTCTTATTTTTCCGTGACTCCTTTGAAATGATATTTGGTACATAACTAGTTGGTGCAGGGATTCATTGAAGACTAATTGTGTGTAGAGTTTAATTCTGTTTCCTTCCATATAGTGCTTTCTTAAAGTCTCTCAGCATCTTATCTCTTTAGCTCTCTGGCACAATGGAGTTTTAGGAGTACTGGTGTGACTCCAAACGAGCTCAGTGAATCAGGCAGCTTATATGTTTTTCTGCTATTTTTTTTTTTTTCAAGTTATTGACACGTTGTACTTGCTGTTGCTGGGTCCTCCTTCTGCTCAGAAGGTTAAATGTAAAACTTTGTTATGGAAAGCCATAAAAAAATTAATTTTCAGAGGCAACTTGGACAAAGCACAGGGAACAATTGCCTCCTTTGAGACACTTGTCAGGAGCCCAAAACCTGTCTGAGAGGGTTAGTGAATGGGCAAGGTATAAAAGTATAACCAATAGAAGGTCAAGTCAGAGAAGGAAAAGTAGTTTTCTTTACATTTGCAGTTACCAAGTGGTTTGTGCCTCGAGACCCTTTATATACAGCTCATCTGCCTTGAGGCAGTGTTGGTTAAGTTCTTCCTTCACATGTGAGGCACCTGCTGCTGGGCACTTTTGAAGCAGGAATGCTTAACTAGATGCACTCCTTTCACTGCTCTTGTGTTAGATGAGATCTGTAGTGGTTACAGGCAAAGTTGGTGTTTTTTTTTAAAGACAGACTCAGGTGTAACCAGGGGAACAAGTTAATACAGATGGTATGCTTAAAAGGGAGACAACATGCATATTTAAATCTGTATATGAATTAGGTGGTCTTCTGCTTGAACAGTGTTTGCTCTCTCCATGTGTTGGGGAAATGGGAGGACAAATGTACCGTGAGGGTTGAATGAGTGAGCAAATCTGATCATAGAATCATAGAATCATATGGGCTTGGAAGGGACCTCTGGAGCTCATCAAGTCCACCCCCGCCACTGGAGTGGGTCTATCCAGAGCAGGTTGCACAGAATCTTGTCCAGGCATTTTTTGAATGTCTCCAGAGAAGGGGACTCTACCACCTCTCTGGGCTGCCTGTTCCAGTGCTCTACCACTCTCACAGTAAAGAAGTTCCTCCTCATGTTTAGGTGGAACTTCTTATACTCAAGTTTGTGCCCATTTCCTCTTGTCCTATCCCTGGGCACCACTGAAAAAAGACCGGCCCCATCCTCCTGACTCCCTCCCTTTAAGTATTTATAAGCATTGATCAGATCCCCCCTCAGCCTTCTCTTCTCTAGACTAAAAAG